AAACGTTTTTAAAATTGTGGGCAAATGTAGAACATATGATTTACCATCTTAACAGTTTTTAAGCGCACAGCTCCGTGGTGCCGGGAACACTCACATCACCCTCATCTCTAGAACTTCCCACCGTCCCAGACTGAAGCCCTGTCCCCAGGAAACGCTCCCTCGCCTCCCCTCCCCCAGGCCTGGTATCACTTCCTGTTTCTGTGACTCTGACTCCTGTGGGGACCTCATGTGAGTGGGTCACATGGGTTTGTCCTTTTGGGCCTGGCGTCTTTTACTCGGCATCATTTCCTAGCGGTCCCTCTCCGCAGACCCTCATCCCCGCACCAACGAGCCTTTCCTAGGGCTCCTCCGACGTCCCTTTGTTCAGTAAGTTCAGCGTACAGACTCGGCACATCTCCCCTTCTCCGAGGGGTCCCAGGGCTGCCTGCAAGCTTCCAGGAGTCTCTGCGTAACCCCAGGCTAACCCGAGGGCTGCGTTCTTCCGAGCTGGGCTCTGAGGGCGCCTGGAGCGCTGCCCGTTTTCTCTGCACGTGAAGTGTGGTTCTCGGCATCGATTCTGAACATCACTGGGAAAGAGCCCTTGGGTAGCAGAGTCTGTCGTCGCCATGGATTCATGGGGACCAACCCAGCCTGGGTTCGGTTGTTGGGTCACCTGGGCTGCCCCGGCCTGTTACGGGGGCCCGGCATGCGGGGAAGGGGGGTCTGTGGCCGCGTCCCATTTGCTTTCAGCCCCTGTGCCCTATTGCACCCTCCTGCCCAGGCCTCCACCTGGCCTGGCAGGGCTCCCGCATTCCTCCGTGTTCCCAGGGCACCTGGCTGCTTCAGATAGTGCAGTGATGTCCGATAACGCTCCGGACGTCCCTCGGGACCAGCGCTGGCAGTCACAGCTCCTGCGGCCCGGCCTTCCGGGCACAAGTTGGGCATTGTTCCATGGCCACGGAGCCGCCCTCGCCTCTGGCAGCAGTCTCCTCCTGCTGACGCGCACACAGCTCCGGGAAGCGGGTCGGGCAGCACTGGGGGCCAGGGTGGCCTCTGCGGGCTCCGTCTTCCCCACACCCTGTCTACAAACCGGGCCGGGTTCCTTCTTTCCTGGGGCCTCAGCCTCCCAGCTCTGGGGGTGCCGGGCTGCCTGAGCTTGGAGCCTCAGGTCGCAAGCTGAGACGGAAGGGTGATAGCCAGCCCTGCAGAGGTGGGGGGCAGGCATCTGACACCCCAGCCTGAGCCCTCCAAGGGCAGGGCCCCTGTCTTGGCACCTCTGAGGCTCCTGGGCCCACCCAGCACAGGACGGAGCAGGCAGAAGCATACTTTCTTTTGTGATTCTTCCTGAACTTACCGCAGTGTAGTCAAATATCCAAACAACACGTAGGTATAAAAACACCGTGCACCTGAACCTCAAGGGGACATATCCTTCAGTCGCCCTGGGACGACCTCCTTGGGCACTTCCCCACCACGCCCTGTGGCCCCGTGTTCTGTCTGCATAGGGAGAGGGGGTCTCCCATACACCTCTGCCCGGAGCTTGGGGTGAGCACACCCACCCTGACAGGCCGTCCACAGGCGGGGTTCTCGTCCCCCCCCCAACACACACACATACACACACACAGTTCATGGTGTCTCCTGAGCACAGCAGGCACAGGTTTGGGGGCGGAGAAGCCCCTCGGCAGCTGGGGTCCCCGCACTGCGGTGCACGTCACTTTTGGGCCTCCTGTGGGCGTCTGTGCTGCTACCTGACACGGCTCTAGCCAGCTCTCATTGCTGCCTTGGTCCCCTAGCTAAGGTCGTGCTGACGGTGACATGAATGGTAGAATTGCCAGCGGCAGCAAAAGAACTGAAAAACTAATACAGAGACCTGGGCTCTAAAAGGCTCCTGTGGCCCTGTGGCAGCGTGACGAGCTGCCGCGTCTGCCCTGACGTATCACGGCCTGGCAGGAAGCAGTGCCCACCACCATGCCTGAGAGGGTGGAAGCCACCGCCTTCTCCTTACTGCCTTTGCTCCAGGAGGCAGGAAACAGAGAACTGAGAACTTTTCAACTGTGGTCCGGTCACAGGCCCTGGAGGCCGGGGGGTCCGAGAAGACCTGGGCAGCAGGACCCACAGACCCTGGCCGGAGTGAGTCCCTTCCCTCCTGGGCGTGCAGGACATGTAGGCTGGGGGCAGTGGTGTGGGGCACAGGATGGGGACTGAGGCGTGGCCGGTTGGTGACGTCGGTCAGCTGAATAATGGCCCCCAGAGATGTCTGTGTCCTGACCCCTGAGCCTGTGAGTGGTGACCTTCTGTGGCAGAGGGGCCCTGCAGCTGTGATTAGGGACAGAGGAGATCCCCCTGGAGTGCCTGGTGGCCCTCATGATCATCACAAGTGTCCTGAGAAAGAGGGTCAGAGGTCAGAGAGAGAGGAGACCGCCATGCACTCCTCCCTGCGCCCTCCTCAGGGCCTGGCCTCCAGGCACCCACCACGCCCCTGAGTCCCCCTGCACTATTGTCACCTCCCTGGTTTAATCACAAGTGGCCTCAGGAAGCACAGGGCCTCGGTTTCCCCATCCCTAGCACTTGTCAGATGGTAACACGGCTGTGTCTCGTGGAGATTTGTTCCTGTCTGTAAAGAGCTGGCCGGCAGGGGACATGGTGGTGGCAGTCGGCCCAGGAGCACTCCCTGTAGCCCCACAGAGAGTGACGGACTTATTCCCACAGGGCGCGGGGGGGGGGGGCTGTGTTTGCCGTCTCTTCTGGGGGGAGGGGTCCACGAGCCACTGCTGGTCCCAGGCCTGGGGAGTCACAGCCTGACTGCAGTTCCTCCTCCTGTGTCTGACTGCCCTGCCACTGTAGCCCCACGAGGAAGAGGCCACGGGCTCTGGTGTGTGTCGGGGAAACTGAGGCAAGGGGACGTACCCGGGCCTTGTGATGGGGGAGGGGTGGGCACCAGCGGGCGCTACACCTCCCTGTGCAAATGCCTCCAAGGCCTGGCCGGTTGGGCAGTGAGCCCGTGGGGTGTGGGCTGATGCCCCTCACTCATGAGTGGAAGGTGATGCCCAAGGGGCGGTCGGGCCAAAGATGGGCTCTCACCCCACTGGTGTTTGCTGTGTCCCCACAGAGGGCTCCCCTCCGCGTCTGGCAGGCCCTGCCTTATCCGTTGAACGGCTTTACCGCGGCCTTGGGCCTGGATGTCCTCCCTGGCTGGCGGGGGGCGGGGTGCGTGTGCACATGCCGGGGGCTTGGTGCAGCCTCAGCTGTGCAGGGAGCTGGCGGCGGGAGCTGGGCCGAGGAGGGGCAGGCCTGCAGTCCACCGGGGGTCCTACGGTGGGACTAGGGGACACTATCAGACAGTACCTCAGGCCCAGCGTCCTGGTGGGCGTGGGTATTGGGACCAAGTGCGAGCTGGGGCTGTCTCCTGCCAAGAGATGAGCACGGCAACTGTGGGGCGTAGCGGAAAGGTCGGCGTGGGGGACTGAGGCCGGAGCTTGGCGGCTGAACAGAGATGCGCACGCGGCAGGCGTGGGCTAGGCACCTACTGTGCGCCAGGCCCTGTCCTAGGCATGGGGGACGCAGCAGGGATGGCACCCCACAGCCCTCCTCTGAGGGCGCTCACGGTCTGAGAGTGGACAGTAGGCCCCAGTAGTGATCTGTGTGAAATACATGACTTGGGGAATGTAGGGGTCAGATCACCCCTCTGTGGATGAGTGGGGGTCAGCCCTGCAGGAGCAACAGTAGGCGCAAAGGCCCTGAGGCCAGTGGGGCCGTGCACGTTTGGGAAGAGGGGCTGGCAGAAGCCAGGTGGTCTGGGGTCACTGGTGTCATGCTGGGGATGACGATGGGTGCTCTATCTCAGCCCGGTGGGGTGGGCAGGGGAGGCTGAGGGTGGAGGCAGGCGCCATGGTCAGGGCAAGAGGTGAGGCGGGCGGGCTGGGCTCTGACTTCACAGGTCTGGCGGGTGCAGGGAGGCAGTGACGGCAGGTCTGGGCCAGAGCTGCTGGAGGGCAGGGCATAGCTGGTGAGCAGGGACTCTGGGTGGGCACCCGGAGGCAAGGCAGGAAGCCCACCTGGAGGGCGCTTGGAGCCCCTGGAGCCCCCAGGGAAGCTCCCCTAAGAATATCCTCTCCCCCAGGCGGGAGGCGGGCTGGGGGCTTGGTCCAGTGACATCCAGGAACACGAAGGGGCCCTGGATGGTCTGCCTTCAGGAAGCAGAGGCTCCCTTATCTTTCCGGTTGGGACGTGATCAGAGCAATGGGTCTGTAAACCTGTGAGGTTGGGCCCTGGGGTCGTGCCCACGAGCGGCCCCGGGGCGGGGCTGCCCACCGTCCCTCTGCTGCGCCCTGGGGGGGGGGCAGGCAGCCAGAGCAGCTCTGAGCCTCCAGCCCCTGGGGAGCCCCTCCCTGGCAGGCTGTCTTCTGTGCTGTAACCACCAGCTGCCTTGCCCTGGGCCCAGTCCCTGCCGGCCCATGATGCTGTTTGGAAGCACCTCGTAAACAGACATTGAATGCTACTATTAAATGTTCCATGTTGTGATGTGACCTCGGGGGAGGGCACACTTCAGTGGTTCTCAGGGCATCTCAGGGTCGTGCCCCATCACCGCCATCTCAGCTCCGCATTTCGTCACCCCAAAGGAAGCCCCGTACCCATTGGCCCCGGCGAACACCCGTCTGCTTTCTGCCCTTGGGTGGTTCCCATCCGGACATTTCGTGCAAATGGCATCACACGATACATGGTCTTCAGCGTCCGGCTTCTTAGCGCAATGTTCCAGTTAGGGTCCATCCCATTGGAGCGCGGGTTAGCACGCATCCTCCCGTGGCCGGGTGATGACACTTCACCCGTGGATGGGCCACACTTCGTGCCTGGTTCACCGGCTGCTGGACGGTGGGGTTTGGGGCACTTTGAGTCCCTGTGCTTGGATGGGGGTGGGGGTAGGTGCTGGGGGAGCCCCTGGCCTATCCCCCTGCCTGTGCCTGGGCTTGTGTCTGTGTGAGGGGGGCTGGCCACGGGGGCTGACCGTGTGTCCTCCTGTCTTGCAGCTTCCTTATCGTCCTGGTCTGTCTGATCTTCAGCGTGCTGTCCACCATTGAGCAGTATGTCGCCCTGGCCACAGGGACCCTCTTCTGGATGGTACGTACAGAAGCCGTCACAGCCGCCTTGTGGCTTGTCTCCCAGGTGTGTGGGCGTGGGGTGCAGTGAGCGGCTCCTGGCTGCTTCTGCCCGTGTGATGACCCTGACTGGTTTCCCTTTCTGCTGGCCGGCAGCTGTGCGCTCACCCTGATGCTGGGGGTTTGGAGGTGTGGGGACGCTCCCAGCTCTCACGCTTTCCAGGCTGGTGGTCTGGGAAGGCTCCTAGAGGAGGAGGCTTCTAAGCCGGGCCAGGAAAAGACAGGAGGCTATGGGCGCGAGGAGCTGAGGTTGTGGACGGCAGGGCCTGCCCGAGCCTGCACTGGAGCCCCGGGTCTGGGGGACGCCTGACCTGCGCTGTAGCTGGCACATGGACCCTGCAGGTGTCCCAGCCCTCACACACCTGCATGGCCTCTTTCACTCCCCTGCTGTGTCCCAGGCCCCTGAGGAGGTGCTCGGGGGGCCCCTGAGCACAGAAGGCATCTCCAACATGAGGCCCTGGCCCCTCCTGCTCCCAGACTGTCTGAGCCCCGCCCCCTGAGAGTGGGGTGTGAGGGCCCTTCCCCACCCCCAACCAGGTGTGAGCCCCTCAGACAGGGCCTGGGCTGGGCCCCCTACAACCTCGGGCCAGCCTGGCTGTGGTAGGGTGGCCGAGCTGGGAGCCCCCAGCCGGGATGGGTCACGGCATGGTGTATGCTGGGCCAGGTGCCGGGAACACATGACCTCACGGAGGGGACACCTCCAAGTGGACCTGGCTGTGAGTCCGCTGAGAAGGCGGGGTGCAGGGGCTGGTGACGTCCCCAGGAGGCTACCTGAATGCTGATGGCCGACAGCACCGGTGTCTTTCCATGGCTGTTTTGTGTTTCCGTGTCTTATTGTGTAATATCCCGCCACCTAGAACAGAGAGCGCCCCGACACCCCCACCTGCGCCATCTGCACCCCCTGGGGCCGGCCTGGGGAGGTCGTGCTTGTGCACGTCAGGTCCTCCTGTCCCAGAGGCCTGGTCAGCTGGACTCCCGAGTCCTTGTGACGGACCCGACGGCAGTTCCCACGTCACTTCTGCGTGGTGGGCGTTACATTCCCTCCGATGCTTCTGGAGTTTGAGCCACGGCGAAGCCTCGCCCTCTCAGAGGCTGTGGGGGGATTCAGCCAGATTTCTTCTAGCAGTTGTGCGGGTTGATCTTACAGTTTTAAGCTGTCGGTGGCAGTTGGGGATGTCCTGGCGTGTGACGTGAGGAGCAGACTCCCTCTCATGTCATCCCTCTGGTCTTCCGGTCATCCCAACACCATGTACTCAAGTCTGTCTTTCCTCCCTGATGTGAGATGATGTTTTTATCGTGAGCCAGGTATTCCGATGCCAATGGTCCGCTGGTCTGAGTGACATCACCTCCCAGGGTCACCTGCTCTGATGACGTGAGCTGAATTCTGTGTCATTCCGCGATTTAGTATCTGTGCCGGCTCTTGTTTAGGGGTCACCAGCCAGTCCTCACTAGCTGGCTCCCCCAGTGACCTTCACAACCAACCCGCCATGCTCCCCCAAAACCTGATGGTACCTGATGAATGCATTTGCAGAGAAGGACGTCTCTCTGGTGTGGGGACTTCCTGCCACGACCGTGGGTTTAGCAGTGGTTCTCTGGTTTCACAGTGTGGTTTTAGACGTTGGGGCTCAGTTTATCTAACAGCAGTGACTGGAATAGTAATTGTTATTGTCGGTTGTCATCACAAATGACAACTCTTCCGTTATGTTTTGTGGGGTTTTATGGTGCCTGTGAAAGCCATTGATTTTGGTTACTTGAATGGCCTGTGACTTGAGTTGCTCCCTCTCCTCACGGCCAAGGTGACCGAGCTGATCCAGGTGGAAACTGAGGTAGGAAGGGGCTGGGAAGACCCTGCCAGGCTAGACCCAGACTCCAAAGACTCCCTCAGCAGATCGCTTCTCTGCCCGCTGGGCACTGGCTGCTGTCTGCCCTCCTATTGAATGTAAGTGCTGGTGGGCACCAGGGCCAGGGAGGGGACAGGGGACTGCGCCCAGAGCCTGGTCAGACTGTCGCCCCCATATGAGTTTCCTGGAGCTGCTGCAACAAAATGCCCCAGACGGGCGGCTTAAACCACAGACACGCACTGTCCCCAGTCCTGGAGGCTGGAGGCCGAGGCCCAGGTGTCACAGGGCTGGTTCTGAGGCCTCTCTCCTTGGCGTGTAGACGGCCGTCTCCTCCCTGTGTCCCCACAGGGTCATCCCTCGGTGCGTGTCTGTGTCCTGATCTCTTCTCATGAGGCCCCCAGTCACAGTGGATCAGGGCCCACCCCAGTGACCCCATTTCACCTTCATCACCTCCTTACAGGCCCAGCTCCACATACAGTCACAGTCTGAGGTGCTGGGGGTCAGGACTCCAATGTGTGAATTTGGTGGAGGGGGGCACAGTTCAGCCCCTAAGTCCCTCTGAGTGACTTGGGCCATTCTTCCGGGGCTGGGAAGTTCACCCTTGGGTTTGAAGCAGCTCCAACAACGCCAAGTTCCCAGGCTGTGGGGTACACCAGGAACCCCACTTTGGCCTTACGTCCAGGGTGCCTTTCCACACCCTCATGCAGCTCAGGCAGGGCCCCCGGGAGCAGCTGGGAGAGTGACGGGCAAGGTGGCGCCTGCACGGGCTGAACGCGGGGATCTGCCCTCACACACGTGCCCTGCATGTCCTCGTGTGCGAATCTCAGCCCAGGGACCACACTGATGCGCTGGAGGGACCCCAAGCCCTGAGCCTGGGGTGGGGGGCCACACCCTGGGGGCTTCGGGGCTCCACTTTCCTCCGGGGAGGACCAGGAGTTACCTCCTGCCCCAGACAGCGCTCACCGCGTTAGACTGAGCTCTCACGAATTCAATGGCACGATTCAGCCCAGAGCTGGGGAGGTGGCCGAGGGCTCCCGTTCTATCCACGCAGCCCCTCCATCCTGGCAGGCCCGTGCCCGCTGTCCCCTGCCCGCTGTCTCCTGCTCAGCCCTTGGAGGTCCTGGCATCTCTGAGGCCCGAGTGCCACCTGGTGGCCATTTTCTGAACTGCGGGCACAGTGCCCCCAGCTGAGGATGGGGGTCTCAGCTTGGGCTGAGGAGGGGAGAGGGGTGCAGGTCCTCTCCCCCTGGGTCCGGGATGGGTGTGCGAGTGAGCAGGCCCCCTTGCCCCAAGCAGACAGCCCATTCCTGCGGTGGTCCCACCCCCTTTCCACCCCTTTGAGCTCAGAGACCCTGTGCTGCCTGCCTTGTCCCCTTTCTGTCGTGTCAGCCACCTCCCTGCCACCCTCCTGCCCCACAGGCACCCTCTCCACACAGCAGCTGTTGGTGGTGGGGGGGCGCTTTCTAAACAAACACCCTGATCATTCCAGAAGCCCCCGTGGCAGTTAGCACGCCCTTGGCCCCTCTGCCCCCATTCTGCCGTCCTCACCTGCCTCGGCCTTGCTGGCGTGTCCACTCCAGTGCACGGCCGGCCGACCTGGGGACACTCCCGGCTGCCTCAGGTTCTGCTTGTGGCCGGGCCGTTTCTTTGCCAAGTTACAGGAATGGCTTCTCGTCCAGCTTCAGGCCCGGCTTGGCTGTCACCATGGGTGCACCTCCCTGACCTGCCATCTGCAGGGTCCCTCCCTGCTCTTCTCAGCCGTCTGCGCGCTGGGGCTCTGTGGGTGGGCTCGCAGCCCCCCCCAGCCCCAGAGCAGGGCCCCAGCGGCTGCGCTCCCCCCACACGCTCAGCATGGTGTTCCCGGGTCTTGGACCCCCTCCTTTGAGCCCACGCACCCAGGGCTGCCCATAGGACACCCCAAGTTGCTGGATTGTCCTGGACCTCAGTTTCCCCACCTGTGAAATGGATGGGTGGGCAGGATGGCCTCAGATTTACCTTTCTAAAAGTCTTGCTGGGTTTCTTAAGGAATTCCCAACTCACTGGCCATGTGGAGACGGGTCCTTCCAGGTGGGTTTGAGCTGGCTGCCACTGCAGTCATGGGGGGGGCGGGGAAGGGCGTTGGGGATACAGTGGGGGTGAGGCAGCCATGGGCCCAGCCCCCAGGGGTAGATGTGAGTTATGTCTGGGTCTGGCTGTGGAGGCAGGGCAAGGTGAGGACGGAGTGTGGGTGGGCTGTGTCTGCAGGGGTGCTGAGGGCTTCCTGGAGGAGGGGATGCCCTGATAAGGGAAGGAGAAGGAGGGGCTGGTGGCACAGGCAGGGACCCCTCCCACCGCTCACAGCCTCCAGGGTAGCCTGGCAGGAGCAGGGCCCCGGGGCTGTCAGCGCAGAGGGGACTCGGGGCTCCCTGGGGAGGCGGAGAGGGAGGGTGTTGACCATAGGCAGAGGGGACCCAATGTGGGGAGTGGGCTTAGAAAGCCGAGGTGTTTGCAGCCCCTGCAGTTGGGCTGCAGGACACCAGGTGGCGCTGTTGTCAGCAAAATACAGGTGCCACTGGCCGGGGCCCAGAGCGCGGAGCCAGACCACAGCCCGGAGCCCAGGAGGGGCCGAGGGTGGGCTCTGCGCGAGGGGTTCTCAGAACAGCACGATGTTTAAATGGTGGAAAAAAAGTCGTTCAAAGCTGTGTTTTCCCGGAGAGCCCATATTTCTTCCTTTTTTTTCATAGGCTTGGCTTTTATGGTGCCAGAAAGCTGTTATCTCAGCCCGGGGTAAGGAAGCCCCAGGCGGCCTCCGAGGGATTAAGCGTTCTGCTGAACCAGGGATATTTGGTGGGCCTGAAAAAGCCATTTTGTTGGAATCTCGTCTGTGCTGCGGGGTCTGCCCTGGGCCTGTGAGCAGACACGTTGGAGCTCTAAGCCGTGTTTGTGGCTTCCCAGGGGAGAGGGCCACTTCTGGGGTTGCAAACAGCTCCTGACGTGGTTCCTGAGTTCAGAGGAAGCCCTGTGTGTGCGCGTACGTGTGTGTACGTGTGTGCCTGCTTGTGCACACGTGTGCACGTGCGTGTCCACGCTTTGCGCTTGAATTTCTGCGTGTGCACCCCCAGGAGTCTGGGTTTGGGGGGCT